GTCATGGTCCCAGGGTCCTGGGATCAAGCCCCACATCGGGCTCCTGGCTCAGCAAGGAGCCTGCTTCTCCCTCTCCCTCTGCCTCTCTCCCTGCTCATGCTTTCTCTCTCTCTCTGTATCTCTGTGTCTCAAATAAATAAATAAAAAAAAAAAAATCTCGACGAACCATGAGAGACGATGGACTCTGAAAAACAAACTGAGGATTCTAGAGGGGACGGGGGTGGGAGGATGGGTTAGCCTGGTGATGGGTATTGAGAAGGGCACATTCTGTATGGAGCACTGGGTGTTATGTACAAACAATGAATCATGGAACACTACATCTAAAACTAATGATGTAACGTATGGGGATTAACATAAGAATAAAAAAAAATCTTAAAAAAAAAAATTTAAGACTACATAAAGCATCACTTTATTGTATCTGAAACAAGAATTTATCTTAAAAAATTTATCCCATTTTTTCTAGTGGGCAACCCCACTCTGGCATCTGACCAACTTCCTCAATCTCCATTTTTTTTTTTTTTTTTAAAGATCTTATTTATTTGCTTGACAGAGAGATAGTGGGAGCAGGAACACAAGCAGGGGGAGTGGAAGAGAGAGAAGCAGGCTTCCCGCTGAGCAGGGAGCCCAATGCAGGGCTCAATCCCAGGACCCTGAGATCATGACCCAAGCTGAAGGCAGATGCTTAACGAATGAGCCACCCAGGTGCCTCAATCTCCTCCATTTTTAAAGTTTTTTTCTGATAGCCCATAGTCTGATAGCCAAAGCTATTAGTCAAGACTGCAGGACACATCCTTTAGACAGATATTATTGTAAAATAATATCAAGTGACATTTAGAAAAATCAAATGAATTTGACAAATTTGACCATGAAAGACTAAGAAAGACCATCTTCTGGGAAGCCCTGATGTAATGGAGCTCTAGAGTGAAGAAATCTGGGTAACTTTAGAAAGCAGTCTCACCTCTCTGATGTCCTCTAGCAATTCTTTATTTATCCTGCCCTTATTATCAAAATAGAAGGAAAAAACTGAGTTATTGGGGCACCTGGGTGGCTCAGGTGGTTCAGCATCTGCCTTCCATTCGGGTCATGATCCCACGGTCCTGGGATGGGGCCCCGCGTCTAACTCCTTGCTCAGCGGGAGTCTGCTTCTCCCTCTCCCTCTGCCTGCTGCTCTCTCTAGCTATCTGTCTCTCTCAAATAAATAAGGAAAATCTTTTAAAAAAATGTTGAGTTATTATCCCTCAAAAAAAAAAAAAGGCATATTAAACACACACACACACACAGAAAAACAACTTTGGTCCTTATGCCTAAAGACAAGAGCCAAAAGTCTTCTAATTAAACATTCATAATTTCTCTTTCCTTGGCCTTCTATGTTCTGAAACAAGCCCAGCTATGCAGTTACGATATTCTAGATGCTAAAAAGCAAATCAGGCAGAACAAAAAACGAGGACACTGCACCCATGCCAGCTAAAAGGCATGGGCCGGGGTCAGGTCAATGCCTTTAAGCTTTCTAAAAGCCCTTGGGTTTCTTGAGTTTGGAAACAAAATAATTCAATGTTTTGGACTTACCTCCCTCGTTGGCTCGCAAAAAATAAGGCAACAAGACGAAACAATTTTTAATGGTGATAGAACATTAAGACAGAAAAAAGACTTAAGTGGAGGCATTAGAGACCTGTATCATATATCTAGAACAGGGAGACCAAATTAAAGGGCCTACAAACAGACATGTAATATAAGGTGTAAAATAGTATCAAGTGACACTTCACACCACATCAGGGATACATGTCAGGCTGTAGCAAGGTCTCCAACAAACTAGAGAGGACATGACCAACTACAAAAGATGGCTGCTATGAAGCAGAAACACAGTTCCATGGCTGCCAGAACTGATTTTTCAAAAGCAGCCTGAATCCAAATTTTTACATAAAATCTCCTTGTTTTTTTATGTTGACAACAAATTCAAATTTATAAGACTATGTGAGCCAATCAAAACACATCTGGAGATTGGATTCAGTCCATAAGCCTTCAGTTTCCAACCTCTGCAGTAAAAACAAAAATACATGGTTTTTTCAGTGGTACAGCTCTAACTCTGGTGTACAAAGTACACCCTATACATCCAATAACACACTGTCATGTAAAAATATACTCAAAAAATATGAATATACATCTGAAACCCCTAACTGCTGAAGGAAAGCAAGAAGAAAATGATCTTGCTCTTCATACCCTAAAGTGCTCCATTTGTACCACTTAAAATAGGAACTGTTTCTTCCAGTGAAAGAAAACATTAGGAAATGGATTTTCGGGGCGCCTGGGTGGCTCAGTCGTTAAGCGTCTGCCTTCAGCTCAGGTCATGATCCCAGGATCCTGGGATCGAGCCCCGTATGGGGCTCCCTGCTCAGCAGGAAGCCTACTTCTCCCTCTTCCACTCCCCCTGCTTGTGTTCCCTCTCGTTCAAATAAACAAATAAAATCTTAAAAAAAAAAAAAAAAGAAATGGATTTTCATGAAACTGAGCTCACTAATGTTTAGCTTCCTCAGTATGTGCATCAGCCCATAACTTGCAGACAAAAAGAAACTAAAAGATGATCTATGGCACAACATTTAACCTTGATCTTTTTTTTTTTTTTTAAGATTTTATTTTTTAGAGAGCGAGCGAGAGAGAAACAGCATGAGAAGGGAGAGGGTCAGAGGGAGAAGCAGGCTCCCCGCTGAGCCGGGAGCCCGATGTGGGACTCGATCCCAGGACCCTGGGATCATGACCTGAGCCGAAGGCAGACACTTAACCATCTGAGCCACCCAGGCGCCCTTAACCTTGATCTTTAAAAAAGTTCCCATGAAAGACTAAGAAATGCGGTGCCCTGGCTGGCTCAGTTCTCGGGGCGACTCGATTTTGGGGTTCTGAGTTTGAGCCCCATGTGGGGTGTAGAGATTACTTAAAAATAAATAAAAAGGACGAAGGAAGCAATCTTTTAGAAGGGTACCCATGACTCGACTCTCCTGATAAGCTATGGGCAACTACTTTTTTATGGGTTATAAACCTGCATTCCAGGCTCTAGAACAGTATTCTTAAATTTTGAAACTAATGAGGAAGATGGAAGGTATCAAACCTTTGAGAAAAAGCACTCCCTCACAAAAATTTTAGTTCCTGGGTTCCCCACAGTCCATGGACCAAAGATTAAGAATGGCCTGCTCCATGTGGGAGGATGGGTTAGCCTGGTGGTGGGTATTGAGGAGGGCACATTCTGCATGGAGCACTGGGTGTTATGAACAATGAATCATGGAACACTTCATCTAAAACTAATGATGTAATGTATGGGGATTAACATAAGAATAAAAAAAATTAAAAAAAAAAAGAATGGCCTGCTCCAAGGAATATTAAACCTACGTCATCTCCAACCCCCCCGCTTCTTCCCATCAATACATCTCCATTCCATCCCCCTACTTCAGGTAACTACCATGTCCAGCCCGGACCAGTACAGCAGCCTCTTAAATGATATAATGATATCCCCCGCCCCCCACCATCCATACCTCTGCAAAACTGATTTTAAAATATCAACTGGAAGGCTTCGACGGCTTCCCCAAAAACCTTACCTGTCCATCTGTTCTGTAACCACTCTCCTCACTGTATCAGCTACTTCGGGCCTCTTTTCAGTGCTGAAAGCACACTAAATTCTCCCCATTTCAAGTTTCGGCACTTGCTGTTCCCTCCACACGGAATCCTCCCTCCTCCAAACTGTCTCCTCACTTGCGCCCAAAAGAACTCTGACCACCCTGAGGTCTCCCTTGTTAGTGTCTACTACAGTCCCTACTTGATATCTCCACATCACTTTTCTCAATTTGTCATTTATTGGCTTACCTGTTGTGTCTTCCCCCACTCTACTGGAAGTTCTCCAAAAGCGAGACCCCTGCTGTCTCACAAGCCCCTGTACTCCCACAGCCTAGCACAGGAGCCAGTAGATGGTACGTTCTCAGGCACTATTTGTTGAATCAATCAGCCAAATACTGAACTGACTCAATCTTAGATGTTTACAAAATGAGTATGTGAAGCAATCCAACAAAATCTAATATTTGAGAGAACAGCGTTAACCACGCTGCCTTCAATTCAGGATGTCATTGTGCCCAAGAGAAACAGACTAGCATCTTAAGATTCTTAGTGATTAAGACCATCCAATCGAAATAACAGTCATACGTCTTCTGCTCTCTCTCCGTCAGCCTCATCTCTCCCCACCTCGGCGCTAACCTCAGCAATATTCCAAGCTTCCTCCTTGTAATTTCTCAGGACAAAATAGGTTTTGTAAACCCTAATTTCACTGGCTAAACCAAATTCAAAAAGCGCCTGTATGTGGTGTTAATGGTAATGAAATATGCTAAAGAACTACTGTCAGCTACTATTACTACTATCAGCACCACCACTAAAATGGGACTCGTACATCTGCAGACTAAAAACGTCAGTCTCCAAAACCGGGGACCTGCCACTGGTGCCAAAAGGGTTAAAGAACAAAGCGAAAAGCCTGTATTGGACATAAAAGATTTTCAGATAAACGACTTCTTCTGAAAACTTCAATTCACCTTTTACAAGGTACAATCAAGCCTAAGTGGCTGCGGGATAAGCTCGTTTTTGATATTGCTAGTGTGTGCACTAGTTCACAAAACGTAATTCCCAGCAAAGAGCAAACTAAGCCCGATTTGCTCCACAAGTTGGTTCATGGCAGGAACCGTTGCTAACTCTTTAACAGGCTTCTACTTAATGATACACACATCAAGCTGTCCAGATAACCGAACAGACAATATTTCCACAAACAAAAAAAAAGGAAGGGCCATCTGAAAAGAAAGGAAAATGCTGGTGTAATACCTGCCTTTCCACTCTGGGCCCACCATCTGGAAATCCTATAAACGATGATTGATAATGATGTCGTTTAATACATGTCAGGTAATGAGCTAAGCGGTTTTCAATTTAATCTCATTTAATCTTCACAATCACTCTATAAAGTAGCCGTTGTTACTTACCGCTATTTTGCAGATAAGGAAACCGAGGCACCTGGAAGCGAAGCCCCTTGACCTAAAATCAAAAGCTAACAGAGCCAAAATTTGAACCCAGGCAAGCTGGCTGCAGGATCCATCTGTTATGCTGCCACCAGAAGCTTCATTGGCTCTCGCCCGCCAGGCTCTACCACACTCTGGCTTCTCCTTCAATCCAATTAACAACCTCCCCGTAAACCCCCTAGTACCCCTGATGGCTTCGAACTTCTGGGCACCAGCGCTACTCGCCAGCTTCTGCCGCCATGCTCCACCCCTAAGATTTAGAGAGGCAATGAGAAAAGCTGATAAAAAGTTGCTGAGGTGCTAAAGGAGGCAAAGAAAATTGCCTCCTACAAGCAGAACACACGCCGATTACCACTGGAATGCAAGTCGGCCTCACCTCCAACCCAAGAGACTGAAATAAAAGTGGGCGCACAAATGCTCCCGGAGCAGATAAATTTGGACTATGCCTCCTCTGGCCGCAAGGCAGAAAAGAAGGACTAACATTTACTGAGTGCCAGCCACATGCGCCCTAAGAGAAGACAGAACCAGGCCAATGGAGACCGGGGGGAGGGGGAGGGGTTAGCACTCAAAGAGTTCCGGGAAAAAGAAAAATCCAAATAATGGGGTTCCCACGACTAAAGAGAGAAATGGAAGAGGTTGAGGCCTCTTCCTCGAAGCTTGCAAGGAGGGGGGGGAAAGGGTAGGAGCTGCTCGGGAGAAAAGGCGGACCAGAGCGTCGGGAGCTAGGCCTGAGCGAGGGGAAGCCCTGAAGGGCGGGGAGGGGGAGGAGCCGGAGAGAGCGGAGCCCGCTCAGAGGAGGCCTAGGGGTAGGCGCGGGGGAGCAGCTCGGCGCCGGGCCTGCCGGGGACCCTGACCCAGCCGCCGCGGAGGAAAGATAAAAGACAAAACGACTGGAGCCGGTGGAACTGCTCTAATCCCCATCAGAGGCCCTCACTCACCTGGGCCCACCGCAGCGATCGCAGCTGCAGCCTCGCAACGGCACAACCGGCCCGAACCTCGCCCCCGCCCGACAGCGCGCCCCGCGTCCCCGCTCTCGGACGGCGGCAGCGGCGGCGTCGCCCCGCTGACTCCTGGGAAATGTAGTGCTAGCCCCGTCTCTCTTTGCCAACTTGATGGTCGGCTGAACTACGTTTCCCACAAAGCAAGGCGAGCGTTGGGCCCGCCGCTTCGCGTCACGCGCCAGGTTGTCGGCAGTCACGTGGGTTGCTCCTTTCCATCCCCTCCCCCCTCCTGGGTGGCCTGGGGAAGAAGGAGGGAGGTGGACGGAAGGGGCGGGGGCGTTGCTGACGCCACTACCCCCACCATTTTGGAACCAGCCTGGAGGAAGGGCCTGAGCCCCACCCACTGGCGGCTTTCCTCCGTTGTCGCAAAGTCTCTGAGCTGGGAATCGGGGCTCCTGGCTTTCAGCCTTTGCCCTGCCACTTCTCGCTTTGTGACCTTGAGCAAAACGTCTCCCCTCTGTGAGCCTCGGTTTCCTCCCCTATGGTATGACACTCGTAATTTCTATCCCATAGAGTTGTTGCGAGAGTCCGACAAAGTAAAGCACATGAAAGCGGCTTGTACTCTGAAAGCGCAACTCAAAATGGAGTTGTTTTTATTGCGATAGCGTGACCTCTTTCGGAGGAGACCCAGGAGCCCGATGGGTCAAGCTCTGACCCGCCTCATCTCCCGCCACCTCCCCCTCCCCCGCCCATGATCATGGGAGCACAGAAAGATTTTCTGAAAGTGTAGTCCTGTGAAGCTTGTTAAAATGGATGCCACTCACCTATTAAGCCGGAAGTTTCCCGGGAAGTACAGGAATCTACATTATAAACACTTCTCCAGTGATTCTCATGCAACTACAAGTTCGAGAACCACTGCGTTCATCAGGGTTTTGCACAAGCTAGTTTCTTTTGGAATTACTGCCCTAATGAACTCCAATCTTTAAGACTGAGCTCAAATGTCACCTCTTCTATGAAGCCTTCCAAGTTTACTAGCTTCCCCAATGTCTACTCCCACAGTACTTTGGCACCTTATTCTGTAATTATTAGGGCCTCTGTTTGTCTTCCCCACCAGACTGCGAGCTCTTTGAGAACAGAGATCGGTTTGGGTGGATTTCTGCATCCCCAGGGCAAAGTAAAAAAAGTAAATACGAATAAATATTGAAGAAATCTGCTCTTCCTGCAAGAAAAGCTCACCAGGCTCAAGTCTCAGATCATGCCACATCAGCCCTCACCCTTACTGAACTCAGTGGCATTCCTTCCAGGCTACTTACTTTTTCTTCCTTCTTCGAGCACTTCCCTGTATGCCCTGTAGTGCTTCTTGTAAGGTTCTGAATCAGCTTAATTTTCTTCTTTCTTTCTTTCTTTCTTTCTTTCTTTCTTTCTTTCTTTCCTTTCTTTCCTTTCTTTCCTTTCTTTCTTTCTTCCTTTCTTCCTTTCTTCCTTTCCTTTCTTTCCTTTCTTTCCTTTCTTTCCTTTCTTTCCTTTCTTTCTTTCAAGTAGGCTCCACAACCTGGGGCTTGGGAACTCATGACCCTGAGATCAAGACCTGAGCTGAGATCAAGAGTGTGACGCTTAACCAACTGATCCACCCAGGTGCCCCTCAACTTAATTTTTAATTCACAGCTTTTCTGAGGGCTATATGCCACGCCCAGTGCAATATACTAGGAACACAATAGTAAACTAGAGGGATGCAAAAATACATAGTCACTCCTCCTGGTTTCTGAGATACTCTATGCTGGATCTCTTCTTACCTCTCTCCCACCCACCTCCACCCCTTGTTTGGCCCAAAACCTACCCCACAGTTCCAGCTTCCTCCCTCTCTTCTCATTCAGTCTTTCTCCCTGAGTGACCTCTCTCCCTGAGTGACCTCGCTCCTTGAGTGATCTGGCATACTCAGATAGTTTCTCCATCTCTTCTGTGCATTTTACTCTGTTAATAACATCTTGACATCAACTCAGATTGTTCCAGATGGTTAGGAGTTGCCATACCCTGATTTTCCACTGGTATCTCAAACTAATCCTGCTGAAATCTGAACTCTTTTTCCCTCCAATACAACATTACCTAATTGCGTAGTTAATTGTTGATATGTCTGTATTCTCCACTAAGCTTTGAGCTCCTCTCAAGAAAATCTTATCACGGGCTCCTGGGTGGCTCAGTCGTTAAGTATCTGCCTTCGGCTCAGGTCATGATCCCAGGGTCCTAGGGTCAAGTCCCACAGTGGGCTCCCCGCTCGGCAGGAAGCCTGCTTTTCCGTCTCCCACTCCCCCGCTTGTGTTCCTGCTCTCTCTCTCTCTCTCTCTCTCTGTCAAATAAATAAATAAAATCTTTAAAAAAAAAAAGAAAGAAAGAAAATCTTATCACTACGTTCATTTATTGAGCGTTTACTATGGGCCAGGCCTTGTGCTAGAAGCTCAGGAGGAAAATGGTAAGCAAAACAAATGTGGTCTGTGCCTTCACAGAGCTCACTTCTAACTGGAGAGACAACATTAAGAAATCTATTGCTGGAGTGACTTGCTGGCTCAGTTGATAGAGCGTGTGACTCCTGGGCTCAAGGTTGTGAGTTCAAGTCCCATGTTGGACATAAAGATTCTTAATTTAAAAAAATTTTTTAAGGAAGCCTGGTGGCTCAGTAGGTTAAGCATCCGCCTCAGGTCATGATCTCAGGATCCTGGGATAGAGTCCCAAGTTGGACTTCGTGCTCAGTGGGGAGTCTGCTTCTCCCTCTCCCTTTGCCCCTCCCCACCCCACCCCCACTGTGTGCGCTCTCTCTGTCTCTGTCTCAAATAAAAATAAAATCTTACTAAAAATTTTTAAGTCTAGGGGCACCTGGTTGGCTCAGTCGTTGAGCGTCTGCCTTCGGCTCAGGTCCTGATCCCGGGGTCCTGGGATCGAGCCCCTCATCAGGCTCCCTGCTCAGCGGGAGACCTGCTTCTGCCTCTCCCACTCCCCCTGCTTGGGTTCCCTCTCTCACTGTGTCTCTGTCAAATAAGTAAAATCTTTAAAAATTTTTAAGTCTATTGCAAAAAAGTAATAACTCTATTACATGCATGATTAATTACCAGTGTGGTAAGTGCAGCACAGAAAAGCATGTGTTACATGCTATGATGACATACAACAGGGGTTGGTAAACTATAGCCTACAAGCCAATCCTGGCCCTCCTCCTGGTTTTGTATGGCAAGAAGCTAGGAACTGTTTTTATATTTTTTATAAATATAAAAACCATTTTATAAATGGTTGGAAAAAAAAATCAAAAGAAGATTAATATTTCATGACATATGAAAAGTATTTATGAAATTCAAAGTTCAGCATTCATAAATTCATCTATGGTTGCTATGACACACAACTGAGCTGTGGGATGGGCACCTGAGTGGTTCAGTCAGTTAAGAGTCCCACTCTTGGTTTCTGCTCAGGTCATGATCTGAAGGTTGTGGGATAGAGCCCCTCGTGGGCTTAGCGCTCAGCTAGGAGTCTGCTTCTCTCCCTCTCCCTCTGTCCCTCCCCTGGCTCACACACGTGCATGCCTGTGTGTGCGCGCACTCTCCCTCTCTCCCTCTCTCTCTAGAATAAATAAGTGAGGTGCATAGGTGGCTCAGTCAGATGAGCATCTGACTTCCACTCAGGGTGTGATCTTTGGGTCCTGGGATGGAGCCCTGCGTCGGGCTCCCAGCTCAGCGGGGAGTCTACTTGGCCCTCTGCCTCTGCCCACCCCACTCATGCACTAGCTCAGCCTCTCTCTCTCAAATAAGTTAAATAAATAAATAAATAAATAAATAAATAAATAAATAAAATAATCTTAAAAAAAAGAATTGAGTAGCTGTGACATTCTGTGACCTGCAAAGCCTAAAATATTTACTATCTGTCCTTTAAAGAAAAAGTTTGCTGACTCTTACCATGGAATCTAAAGATTCTGACCTACGCTAGGAAGTCAAAGGAGGCTTCACTGAGGAAGTGACCCATAAACTTGTTGTCAATCAGGCCAAGAACTAGGGAAATATATGGCAGGCAGAAGCAACAACACATGGGAAATCCCTGTGACCCGAAGGAACTTGGCACATCCTAAATAATGTTAAGGCTGCCATTGACTCTTTAGTTCCTAAAGCACAATGAGCCTGGTGAGGTCCTAACCAGCCAGATCCTGCTGGGTCTGACAGTCCAGGTTGAGGTTACTGGATTTTACTCTGAGAGCAATGGGAAGCCATTGAAAGATTTATAAGCAGGGGAGGAATTCAGATTTCCTTTTGTAAAGGATTATTCTGGCACAGTGTGAGAATGGATTAGGGCAAACCATAATGAAAGTAGAGAGACCAATTAGGAAGTTATACTGTAGTTCAAATGAGTAGACACAGTATCTTGATCCAATGTGTTTTCAGTGGGGATGAAGAAAAAGGAAGCAGATTCAAAAGATGCTCAAAAGATATTTAGGAGATCAAATCTACTGATCTTGATGACTGACTGGATGAGAGAGGGAGGGAGGAGTCAAGCCTCCGTTTCCGGCTTGAGCAGCTGTGTGGATGGAAGTGCTATTACTGCCTCCCTCCCACTCGGCTTGTACAAGTCTGCCCACACTCATCACAGTGTATTGGAATCCATTACATGCCTGTGTCTCCTGCAGAGAGCCATCTCCTGGAAGGCAACCATGCGCTTGTTCTTTGTCCTCCTAGAACCCGTCAGCTGTCTAGGCAAAGAACTAGCAGCAGTAAATGTGTGTGGACTTTTTGT